TGCTGTATCTAGGCAGGGAGACCACATTGCTCTGGCTGCAAACCATGAAGTAGAAGAGTGAGAGCAGTGGTGCAGACAGAGACCCACCTTCAAGTTGTGTGCTAGGCCAGATATAATCTCTAATACAACTCTCTGGCCCACACAGCAGATGTTTTTCCTCCCCTGCCCATCTCCCAGCAGCTATTTCAGCATCAGTCCAGGGAGGAAGAGTTTAGCTGGTAAGCTCCTGTCACCTGCCAAGCTCAGCAAAGCAAATGAAGGATGGCTTTGACAGCAGGAAATCCTAATGAGCAGATGGGTTACTACATCCCTTTTACTTGACACTGTGTTTGAGTATTACCAATTTAAAGGTCTTACACAGCTTTAAAATCCAAACAACTTCTAATTGATCTGTTCTCTGTAGTCTCTCTAGCCAGTTGCTTTTTCTCTGTAGGATATTTCTCAGCATCCCTCACCAGCTTGTCAACAAGGCCAGTTGTCCCAGACACTGGTAGATGCTGCTTGTCATGATTGCTCTCTGCTGCTCTTTTGTGTGTATAGCTGGGTTTGAGTACTCAGATGCCTGCAGTGGTTTTATTGTAGTCTGGAGAGTCTAGGGAATTCTACCTCCTTATTGTGCTGTGCTTTATAGGGTGACTTAAGAGTATTAGCTGCGGTTGTACCTGGGGCTGTTGCTCACTTGCCTGAGATTAGAAGTGAGGAAGTATTAGCAGGGAGAGGTGACAGTATTTTTCTTAGAAAAACCTGGTGTTGTGAAAATAGAAAAAAATTGGGGCACTCAAGTCTTTTGCAAGTATAAAGATATGGTTCCTATTCATTTCGGTAGCAACCTTCTAATCAAGACCTTTCATAAAGTAAATTGTAAGTACTGATATGCTAAAAGTGTTATTACTGCTATATTGTTACATTCAATTTGAGATCAACCTACCAGTGTTTTAAGTACTTTAGAAAACCCTTAGTCTAACAGTCCATATGCCTGAGGAATTACAGGCTCAAGAACCATGATCAGCAAAGACTGGAGGAAAGGGAGGAAGATTATGCTCATATAAAGGTGAGTGGAACAACTTTAGCCTGTAGAGGTTTAGGGGATTTGAGCCAGGGAGGGCAGAGCAGCTGTCTGTCTGATGAAGCCTGGGTGGGCCGTTCCCCACCTCTCAAAACCTGGCCTTTGGTAACTTGCTTGTGATTATCCAGAGGAATTGTGTGGGAGCTCAGTGTTAGCCATATCCCAGCACAGGGGTTGCAGAACTCTTCTAGGCAGAAAGAAGAAAGATATTGGTGCATGAAAGGGAGGGGAACAGCTCAGTGACCTGTCCTGGTTAAAGGCTCACAGCCACATGCACAGGCAGCACTTACCAATGGTATCGCTAGATTTTCACATTTACATCCCCCCTCCCCGCCCCCACTTTTTAACAGGAAATTAAGCCAGTAGAATAAAAGCATCGTCTTCTCCTTCACCACTTACTTCACTTTTTTGGGACAGGGCGACTATATATATTTTTGATTTCTTTCTCTTCCTTAGGGTTGAACTATAGTGATGTCTCTGAACTTTCTTTTCTTGGGTTTCTTGGCAACCTTCCCAGCTTGTCTCTCGCCTTATAAGTAAGTTAGATATATTAGTTATTCTTAATGGTCTCAGAATATATTTCTTCTTGGTTTTATATCACACTTCCATTTGTCCTCCAACTTAATTATGTGGTTTCAATCAACAATGTCTTATTACCCCAGTCCCAAGCTCAAATGACACTGCTGAAAAACTGTTGACAAAGGGATTGATTCTGCACTGCCTTTTCCCTTGTGTAACAGCTGACAAACGTGTGCAATACAACAGATGCAGTGGAGGTAAGGTTTCGTATTTCTCCCCCTCCACGTGCTGCGCAGCAGTACATGCTTCTATCAGCAAGAGCAGAAAGTAAAGTCGTGTCCCTTCCTCATGGGTGCCTGTGGTTTGTGGATACCTTTATGTCCCCACTCTCTAATGACAGAGGATTGCGTGCTGCTGTCTCATCCCTGGTATGTTCTCCCTTCCCCCCAGGTGTGCTGTGGGCTGCCCACCTGGATCAGTAGCCGGTCTTCATCACAGCCCAGCCACTTCCAAGGAACACTGGCAAATTTACCTGCAAGGTATTTGGAGGGTCACAGTTCACCTATATACACTAGTACTGAATGTTGCCCGGAAAACCCCGAGAGATAGTGTTCTATCCGACCCTTGCTGGGTCTCACATAAACTGGGACTCGGGTTTCTCCAAAGAGAAACATTCAGTCTGTACATGCAATGACACCTGCATCCTGCTATGTAAAAGCTGGAAAACCAAGTCAGCCCGTGGTACAACTGTGCTGTGTGGGACGACATACAGAGCCATAACCTTCTGCTGTTTCTGCACAAAAGCTACACAAGTGATGTTTTTGCAGAGCAAACATCCCTGCAATGCCCTGAACTTTTTGTGTAGGGACACTCTAGCTTACCCATCCTGACATGGGAAAAGAGCATCACAGTCCTTTCCCTTGCATCATGCGTTGAGAACTCACTGAGTAAATCATTTTCGCACTGATTTATCCTCATATCTTTACCCAAAGCTGATCTGTATTAACTGATGTGGGAATCCCAGAGTAGGCCCTAATCCTTGTATTCTGTAAAAAAGCTTTTTGTGAAGCTGGTGCTTTTCCCTCGGAGACGGTCTCAAGCAGGGAAACGTAGGCTGCGGGAAGAGAAGAGTGAAGGAACTATAGCACCAAGAGATTTAAGACTTAAAGTTGAGCGCTTGTACCCTCAGCTGGAAACATCCAGAGTTTGGGTATTGCCCATCTTTAAAATTCGAACATTTTCCTTACATCAGCAAGTGAGGCATTGATAGAACTTGAAGCATTTTCTCCCGTGCATAATAGCAAGCAAAATAGCGGCAGGTGCTTCTCCATGCTGTTAAATTGCAAGCACAATTTTAGGTCTTGCCAAGTCCTTGACCTACCTGATTCTGAAGTTAGCATATGCCATTCTTGATGGACAGTCTGCAGGTTCAGGTTGTGCCTTGCCAGGTGTCATCAGCGACAGCAAACCGCTAGCCCATTTCAAGTAAGAGCTTGGCTGTGGATTTGCTCAGACCTGAGGGTTTACCCAGTGCATTCATCACCCAGCTCAATGGGATGAAAGAAAAAAGAGAAAAAGGAGGTGTGCAAAGCCCCCCTCCCTTGAAGAGCTGCTCTTGATTAGGAGATATGGAGGACTCTGAAATTCCTCCCAGCTTGCCTCTTACCCTGTAAGTATCTTGAATATATTAGCTGTCTTTACAGATTCATAATGTACTATTTGGTGGTTTACAGTGCTCCAGCACTAAGTACTGTAATTTTGTATCAGAGTAATCTTACAGAATTTTTATTTCTGTCCCACCTGAAAGGGAACAGTGAAAGAAGCCCACTATCGTTCCCATGCGGTAAATGGTTTGTGTAGACACTCCTAGGTCTTTGCTCTCTGAAGAAGAAAGATTTCTCCCTTCCTAGGGGCACAGTGGGCCATTTGCCTGGAGCAGAAGCTGGTGTCTGTCACAGAAAAGTCTTTTTGTTACAGTATTGCCAGACTAACCTGTACACCAGCTAGCGGGTCAAACTTCGTTTGTGTCCACTGGTACCAAGAGCTGCCTGGCATTTTAAATTCAGTCACTCAGTTTGCACCTCTAGTGAGAGTTTTCAAGTTTAACCCCAAGATAAGGAGTATACTAGGATATTTCTCCCAAGAGAAATTCCGAGTGTGTGAGTGAGCAATGGCAAATGCATCCTGCTGGTACACCAGCAGGAGGAGACTGAGAGCAGCAGGTACTAACTACTGTGCTGCTTTGAAAGACCTGTTAGATCCTGCAGTCTATCTTGTTCTCTATGTAGAGAACATGCATATCTTACATGATTTCTATGGAAATCCAGTTTTAGCAATTCCCAAACAAGGTTTCCATTATCTCCAAGGGGAAATGATGGGCTACATCCTGAGTTATCTCCAGATTAGAACATTGTCTTGATTGACAGCCTAAATTTCCCATACAAGCAAGTGCTAATGATGTCATTTGCTCTTTTAGTTCACAGAAGAAAAGGTTTTTTTTTTTTTTTTTTTTTTTTTGCACTACCTAACAAATGCCAAGCATTTCAGGAGACTCACAGGAAGGGTGTCCTCTTCTGAAACGCTTCTTCAGCTAACACTAACAGGAGACAGAGAGTGCCAGTGCTTCTGTTTCTCACTGCTATATATAATTAGGTTTTTCTGAGTGAAGTATTCAATGCTTTATTACCTATTAGATTTAAAAAAAGCAAAGTTTTAGGAAAAAAGTATTATTTAGGCCACGGGCTGGGTATTTTTCAGACTCTGAATTGCAAAGAACTCCCCTTCCCAAGTTGCTCTCATGTTTGTCTACACCTTTTAGCAAGATCTGAATGGTGGACCTCAATCTATGCTAGAGCAGTCCATTTTCTTTTTCCATGATATATTGCCTCTTGAACCTTTCATGGACTGAGTAGTGAAAGTAAGACAATTTTGGTGTGTATATATCCAGAAGGAGTGATGCATAAATGTCGAGCTAATATGGCACTACTGTTGTTCTTGTGGCTTTTTGTACTTTTACAAAATAAACTCTCGTAACACGTTTTTTCTTCTACTCATAAAGCCACAAACATATTTTACAATAACACAAGGTCTTCACTTTAGACTACTTTGCAATTCAGACAGGAAACCAACAAAATGTTGCTTAAAGATCTAACAGCTACAGGCACCAAATACTTCACCATGAAATGTTAAACTTTTTTTTTTTATGTTAAAGCAACATATTTAGAAGACTCTTTTCTCACACTTTGGATTAGCAGTCAGGATTTTCACTTCTGGAGGGTGCTAGAGTCATGATGGGCCTTTTCTGGGGACTCCTTGACCCAGCGTGAGTGCTCAATCCTTGGCTGGATGGATCCTTCAGCCACAAGTCAGTGGCAATCGATGGAAGAAGGCCTTCCCTTACTAGGTAGGCAAAACAGATGTGCTGTCCCTTCACGTGAAAAAGTTGGACAGGACTGACTAGACACTTTGGAGCTGTTCAAAGCAAGAGAGAGGTCAACTGACTGACAGACTATCATGTGAAATAATCCATTACCATCTGCTTTTGCCACCAACCACGCCTTTTGTGCCACAGAAGCAGGCAGTATTTGCTAGAGGAGGCTGGTGAGACATACTTTCAGGACAGTGTTGGGTCATCTGAAGAGAGGAGGACATCTTTGGGAAGGGTGGGATTGGACATTTAAAGTTGTGTGTGTATGCATGTGTGTGTGAGTGTGTGTGTGTGGGTGTGTGTGTGTGTGGAGAGCTCCTCTCTACACCACTCCTGCTGTGGTTTAGCTTGTCAGTAGATGCAACCCCCATGGCAACAAGTCAGAGAACTGCCATTGGATGTGCCAGATGAGTCATCTCCTCCTCCCACTGGCTCTACTCTCTTTCTACCTGAAGGGCTTTGCAGTGTTTCTGCTTCGAGTTCAGTTCCAGGTTTAACCCCCCACCACCGGGCAGCATGTTGCTGCTGCCAGTCCTTCTGGTAACTTCACCTTGGTCCTGTAAGTCCTTTTTCCCTTCTCCTCTTCTTCACGTTTCCTCCGTACCGAGAAGAGACTCCTTGTTCCAAAATCCGACATTTTCATCCCGTCATCCAGTTTCACTGCTTTCTCTTGTAGGTGGAGATGCACAAACAGTTCCGGCTCAAACCCCGAAGCTGTTGGGAAAGGTGGAGAACAGCTCGGCCAGTATGTCATGCAGCATGAGCAATGAAGACATCCTTCACTGGTACCACCAGCCTCCTGGAAAGCCGCCGGAGAGGATTCTGTATGTGTCAGGACAAACACCTACATTTGATGACACAGCCAGTAGCTGGAAGTTTAAGGTTCAGAAAGATTCTACTAAGGCTGTCTATACTCTCCGAATAGATTATTTAACCCTGAGGGATTCTGGCATTTATTATTGCGCCTATTGGTTTTATGGAAGATCACAACATTAGAAGGGTAAAGATAAGCCGTACAAAAAGCCATACTGCACTCTGAACCGCAAGCTCTGAACTGTGCCAAAATGCAGTTACTTCCCTATTCCTCCCTTCTCAAACTGCTGCCTGCAGCGGGATGGGAAAACTTACCATTACCGCTTTCAAGTAGGTGACGTTAATAATCAGGACAGTACTTGGATGCTTACAGAGAGCCGCAGTGTCCAGAAACTGGAGAGTCCCTGTGACCTTAGGGCAAATATATGGGTCTTTTGTGTTCAGATGAAGACTGGGTTCTCTATGCCCTCTGTATTTCCCCCTGAGAAAAAAGGAAGATAGGGAAGTAAACCAAGGAGAGAAGGCCAGAGGATCTTGCACCTCCCCTCTCTTCCACATCCTCCCCCACAGTTTTCTCTTGTCCTCCTTCTCCTTTTGGTCCCTACAAACTCCTGCAAACATCCCAGGAAGCCTAATTTCATTGTCAGGATTCCTCTCCAAACGCGTCCAAATGCGTAATTCCCTGCCCATGAGCAATGTATCTGACAAGTGGAGAGTCCCTGGTGCTTGAGGCCTAATTATTTCTCCTGGGCTTCACCATGAAATGATAAAGAATTTTTTTAATGTTAAAGCAGCACGTGTAGAAGACTCTTTTCTCACACTTTGGATTAGCAGTCAGGATTTTCATTTCTGGAGGGGGTCATGATGGGCCTTTTCTGGGGACTCCTTCTTGACTCAGCATGAGTGCTCATTCCTTGGCCAGATGGATCTTTCAGCCACAAGCCAGTGAGAATCGATGGAAGAAGGCCTTAGCTTGGTAGCCCTCATATTCAGCCAAGGGACAGCCATAGTGCTCTGCCATACTTGCTTCAGCTCCCACTGGAGTGGAAATGGCCATCTTTGCCTATAGCTGGATTGTTTGAAGCTCTGAAGAAAGGGCAGGATTGACTCCTGGAGTGAGCAGGCTCTTTTGGATTGACATGAATGGTGGAAGGATCAGCAGTGAATTCCCTCAGTCACATCCAAGTGCCTTCCCTGGCAGCATTAATTTTGAATGTGTATTTCTCCTGTTCCCGCTTAGGTACTGGGCCCCACTTCCCCATCCACATTTGAGAACTGCCACTCTGGGGTTGTGGTATTTCATCGTAAGTGAGGATTTCTTGCTCCTCCTCAAGATTTGCCTTTGAAGAACAAGTTTAGCGCCCTCCAAGCTGAGGAGGAGCTGGACATGGCTCCATAGGAGGCAACTGGCCTGGCAGATCCTGTGCCGTGCAGGAACCCCCCGGAAGAAGTGGCGAGTGATTGTTGTGGGTGACTCCCTGCTGCAGGGGACAGAGGCACCTATCTGCTGACCTGACCTCTTGTCCAGAGAGCTTTGCTGCCTGCCAGGGGCTCGAATAAGAGATGTCGTGGAAAGACTGCCAAGGCTTGTCCATGCATCAGACTACTACCCTCTGCTGCTCTTCCATGTGGGCGCCAATGACACGAAAGGCAAATTGGAAACCATCCAACAGGACTTCAGAGCTCTGGGAATGGTGGTCAAGGGTCTGGGAGCCCAGGTCGTTTTCTCCTCCATCTTGCCTGTGAGGGGAAAGGACGAGAGGAGGAGTGAACAAGTTTTCCAAGTTAACAACTGGCTGCGCCAGTGGCTGCCCCATCAACAGCTGATGGGGAGAGATGGAATCCACCTTACCAAGCGGGGCGCGCGCGTGACATCTCTTATTCTTTGCCAACAGATTGGCCAGCATGG